AAGTAGAGGATAGAAATCGTTTTGTTTCTTTGATTCCGTCTATATTGTTACTAATGATTAGTATATCATCAACATATAGACACACTAATGTGATTATATCACCATTCACATTTGTGTAGAAACATTTATCTACTAAATTGTGATTAAATCCATTTAACATTATTTTAGAGTCTAATTTCTCATGCCACTTTTTGGGAGCTTGCTTTAATCCATATAAAGATTTAATTAATTTGCACACCTTATGTTCATTTTCCGGTAGAACAAACCCTTTCAGTTGTTCCATATAGACCTCCTCTTCGAGATCTCCATTTAAAAATGTCGTTTTTACGTCCATTTGATGAACATATAAATCATATATAGATGCTAGTGCAAATAAAATCCTTATGGAGGTTATCCTTGCCACAGATGCATATGTGTCAAAGTAATCAATTCCTTCCCTTTGACGATACCCTTTAGCTACTTATCTAGCCTTATAAGTATTAAGCGATCCATCAGAATTATATTTCTTTCTAAATACCCATTTACAACCAATAGCTTTCGAACCTGCTGGTAGGTCAACTATTTCCCAAGTGTTATTTGAAATAATAGAATCCATTTAATTATTTATAGCTTCTTTCCAGAATATATAATCTCTAGATTGCATTGCTTCCTTATAAGTTTTAGGATCACTTTCCACTTGAAGAACAAAAGGAATTGTTCTTACAACATCCTTCCTATCTCCTTCTACTAAGTAAAAGGAAATAAGTTGGGAATCTATTTCATTAGATCCTAAGTTCTTTTCCTTTCTTGTTCTTTTACTTCTTCGAGGTTCAAAGTCAACATCCTTTATGGATGTCTCTTTTGGTGAGCTTTTAAAGGTTGTAATATCCTTATTATTTTCAGATTTCCTAGCTACCATCACATTCTCGAAGAATTCCACATCTCTTGATTCTATTATAACATTTGATTCGAAATTTAATAACTTATAGGCTTTGCTATTAAGTGCATATCCTACAAAGGCACATTTGATATCTCTAGGACCTAACTTGGTTCTTTTTGGATCCATATTTTTATAATACGCAAGGCACCCCCACACTTTAATATAATTAATATTTGGTTTTCTACCTTTCCAAAGTTCATATGGGGAAATTTTATTCTTTTTTTATAGGAATTCTATTTGTTATATGACAAGCACAAAGTAATGCTTCACCCCATAAGTTAAAAGGTAATTCAGAATTTAATAACATAACATTTATCATTTCCAAATAAGTTCTATTCTTTCTTTCTGCTAATCCATTTTGTTCCGATGTTTTAGGTGTAGAAGATTGATGTATTATTCCATTTTGTTCACAAAATATGTTAAATTCATTTGAAAAATACTCTCCACCTCTATCACTTCTTAAAGTCTTTAATTTTCTTCCTAATTGATTTTCAACTTCATTCTTGTAAGTTTTAAAGGCACTAAAGGCTTCATCCTTATGTTTAAGTAAGTATATGTAAGTATACCTAGAGTAATCATCAATAAAAGTAATAAAATATTTATTACCGCCTCTAGTTAATATTCCATTCAATTCACAAATGTCGGAATGAACAAGTTCAAGTAATTTTGTTGTTTTTTCTATGCTATGAAATGGCTTCTTAATCATTTTTGATTTAACACATATTTCACATTTTTCTAAGTTATTAATATCACATTGTATTAATCCACATTTAATCATTCTTTTCATAGTACTAATTCCTATATGTGCTAATCTACCATGCCATAAATTAAATGAATCAATAACATACGCAAAAGATTTAATTTTATTTGAGTTATCCTCAACAGTACGTAGCTTGACCATTCCTTCGGTGGAATAGCCCTTTCCAACAAAATGCCCACTATGGGTTAATACAAGTTTTCCAGATTCAAAGACAGATTTAATCCTGGGTTTTCCCAAGAGTACACCACTTGCTAAGTTCCTATTCATTTCCGGTACATGCAGGACATTTGTCAAAGGGATCTTCTTTTTCGAAGTGAAAAGGAGTTCAACATTTCCTTTACCGATCACCTTTGATCTTCCTTCATTTCCTATTTGTATTTCTTGGTTGTCTTCAATGTCATGATAAGTTTTGAAGAGAGACTTATCATAACATACATGGATAGTAGCGCATGTATTGTACCACTAGCTCGGAACTTTGCCTTGGATTGCATTGATTTCACTCACTGTTGCAATAATATTTCATCAATAGAGTTCACTTGTCCTTCCTTCTTATGTTGTTTCCTATGCCTGCAATCTTTAGCATAGTGTCCCAATTTTTCACAAACATAGTATGGTCCTTTGGCTTTATTTTTGAATTTTCCTTGATCCTTTCTAGGACCAAGTAATTTCTCTTTCTTTTTGAACTTGTTGGAGTTGTCCACATTGTCCACGGCATTGGCTTTCGAAGAGCCATCATAAGAATTTTCAATCTTATCTCTTGTCCTTGATTCTTCCTCAATGCGAAGATGTTTCTGTATGTCTTCTAAAGAAAAATCTTCGGAATTGTGAAGAATTTTCTTCCTATATCCTCTCCAAGAACCAGGGAGTTTAGCAATAATTGCTCCCACTTGAAAAGTTTCGGGAAGTTCAATTTTTACCATTTTCAATTTGTTCACAATTATTTGTAACTCATGTACTTGAGGCAATAAAAGTATATTGTCTAAAATTTTAAAATCAAAATATTTATATATTAAAAAATTTTTAGCACCTTCTTCCTCGACTTTGTATTTGCTTTCTAATGCATACCAGATTTCTTTAGCCGAAGTAGTGTTTGTGTAGAGATCATATAGTCGATCGGACAATGCATTTAGAATATGCCCACGGCATATCAATTCATCTTCTTCTCGTTTCTTCCTTTCTATGCGAATTTCTTCGGTGTCCTTTTCAGTTGCATCGAGAATGGGTTCCAATTTTGAATCAAGCACGTAGAAGATCTTCAACACCGTTAGAAGAAACTTGAGTTTGTCTTGCCATCTTGTAAAGTTTGCACCATCAAATCTATCCAAACACACCACGTCTTGATTCATCATTTTAATAGTAGCAATAGTAGATTCCGACTCCATAGTAGTAAATGTAAAATAACATTTGAGTTTGTTGGAAATTTAAAGCAATGAAAAGAGGAAAAATGGTAATAAAAAAATATAGATATAATTAGAGGCTTGAACACGAAAATGATAACGCTATCTTCAAACGTTATTTGCCCCATTTTCAATGCTTTTGAGGAGTTCCGACAAATAGTTTGTAGGATTAAACAAGTCTTTGTGTGAAGAACACCAAAAGTAAAGTGTATCTTTCATAAAGAACAAGTGAAAATAGATATAGGATTGATTATGTGATAATTTGGGAGAATAATCTTGTGGTGGATTTCTTAATTTTCTCAAGAGTATTTTTCTTTGCAATTGGAACACCTATTTATAGGCTTTGAAAGGTTATCACGAAATGGTGCAAAATTATGTTGAAAATGCACCAAATTCAAAAGAAAAATGGTAAAAAACGAATCCCCAACGATCACTTTGTATAATCATGCGACCGCATGGTCTATAACCATGCGGTCGCATGGTTGTAGTGCAAGTGGCCCTCCCAGTTTCGGGAGGGCCTCATGCGGCCGCATGGTTAAGCCCAATTTATTTATTTATTTATTATTTTTTTTTAATTATTTTTTTTTTTACACAACTAAAATTCTAACACTTGCTAGAATCTATGCCCAGTGGCGTCATGTAGAAAGCAATTTTTAAAATTAGCGTTACATATAAAATGCAAATTATAATGCTCCGTATTCTTTTTTATTTTTTTTTTTAATTTTGAACAACAAAAATTCTAACACTTGCTAGAATCTATGACCAGTGGCGTCATGTAGAAAGCAATTTTTAAAATTAGCGTTACATATAAAATGCAAATTATAATGCTCCCTGAATACGATTCTTGTTGCCATGAATACATAATCAATAACTGTCAACAGGGAATTAAGTTTTTCACGAATATTTAAACCATGTTTGGTAGACGTTTTTATAGTATTTTGGAGGCTGAATAGTATGAAAAAGTTATGGAGAATACACGTAAAATTATTTTATTGGAGAATACGTTGTTTAAAATGAGTTTGAAAAAAATGAGTTTTTTAAATTTAACAATATTATGCATAAAATTAAATAAAATTTAAAACACAATTAAAGCTCGTCGATAAAATTATATTAATGGACATAAATTAGATTAAGATTGATGTACAAAATCCCAAAATGATTAAACTTGGAATACTTCTCTTAAAGTTGATATCTAGAGATACAGCTTCAAGATTAAATACGTTTTTGTTTAAGTGATTATAATTTGAAGGTTAACGAGTTAATAATTTCAGTCAAAAATAAAGGGAAAAAAATAACAAATAATATCAAAGAGCTGCTTATTAAGCCTATGTTTGGTTTAACTTAAGTTACATACTTAAATTAATTTCATCTATTGTGTGCGTTTGTGTTTGAGAGAGTGTGTGTGTGTTGAACACTTGGAATGTGAATTAATTATTAGGTTAGCTTAATATTCACAAGAAAATGGCAGGCGTTGACCATATTTCATTAGTATTACTTCTAAATTTGATCATATATTAATGAGTGTTGAACGTAAAATTGACGTATAAAAAATGTGTAATTGTGATTATAAAAATGTATGCGACTATATTTGTAATTGTGACACAATTTGCGTATTTGTGAATGTGATCTTCTGCGATTTGTGATTGGTTCATGACCTTGATCATAAATTTTGTGTGATTGTGATCATTCGATTTTTGAAACTTTTTATCAGGTTGTCACAAATTGTGATCACCCGATTATTATCACAAACCTTTTATCAAGTAGCCATGAATTTCGATCAAACTTTCAATTAATAGGTCATAAAATTTTATCAAGTAGTGACAAATTTTAATCACCTGATTTTTGAAACTTTTGTAGTTATGTACTTTTTTTTTTTTTCCAGCTACTACTGACTAATCAAATCCTCACTCCAAGAAAATCAAAATTGAAACCAACACGACATAATTACTCTGGGAAATTATCAAGATATCCAACCCGACCCGTACATTCAACTAGACTCGGTCAAGATGGCTGACTGGGGATCGAGTTGGACAATATTATTTTAACATTTATTTATTTTTTAAAATTTCTTTTACATAATTTATAAAATAAGAGCAAAATTCTCAAACATTTTACGGCAAGCTAAAGCCAGATGGGCTTAATTATTAGTTGGACCCATTGCGGGCCGAGCTCTTGAGGAAAGAAGCACTCTTGGTGATTTCTCTTAAAGGCTTGTTTGTGAATCTGATGATATTGTAGACCCAAGCACCTGCTACAGCCCCAAGAGTTGGGCCCACTATGTATATCCATATTCCCTTGTATTTATTGGACACTATTGCTGGGCCCAAACTCCTTGCTGGGTTCATTGAAGCCCCAGATACTGGCCTGTCCATTAAAGCTACCAAGCATCAAGTCCATAATCGATATTTTTGAAATAAAATTTCAATATAAACTTAAAGAATAATAGTATCTAGTACCAATTTATGTGTTCAACACTAGTTTATATGTCAGCATATCCTATTAAATGAGTCATAATTTATTGTATTTAATTAAACATATAATTTAATATCAATAGTGTCGTCACCAAAATAACATTATCCAAACTCAAAACACACTGTACTCAAGTCATTAACTTATTCGTACTATTATTTTAGAAGAGCTTCGGCTTATCTTACTCTTCAGAAATTCCTATCGCATCATTTAGTTTTGAATCCAATATATTTGTCTTATTAGAAATTTAAGTAGAATCATGATACCGATTAAGCAAGAATTTTAAGAATTCGAAATAGATCACAAATTGAAAATGTTCCCAAGATATGATTTTGTAATACAATCTTTATTAAAAATTAGCAAGATAATCGAGCATAGAACTTACCCTGCAATCATCACATTAAGTAAAATAGTCGCTCCAATGGCTAAACCCGCAAGTTCTCCAATCTGCATGGCAACCCGAATAAAAGAAAATCATAAAAGGAAATTATCGACAAGGGCCATATCATTGTCAACATAGATAAGCTTTAATAAAAATGTCATTATCTTCCTCCATTTTTACCTATAAAAAAATCACCATGATTTCTTATTAATCCCGTTTCTTGAATTTATTAACAAAAGTACAGAACTCTATGTTGTCTTTTGGAAGAATTATCCTAAGAACACGATATATATTATAAATAAATTTTTGGACTAATAATAATGAATAATGTTATCTAGTATCAGTGGTGCTATAACATCAGTTTAAATAACCACACTTGATGAGTTCAATTAAATGAATCATGTGACGATACATTTAAATGAATCTATCATGTAATGTCATACAATTGCTACTTAAACTGGTGCTTGATACCAGTAGTACTGAATATAACTATTTAATAATAATTGGTGAAGGAATTAGACTAATTACAGCTCGGTTGTCGGTAGCAACTCCAGATATGACGAACATGAGGTAGAATGTGATTATGAATTCCACAACAAAAGACTGCATGTCGCTGCCGGTCGGAAATGTTCCACCGAAGTGGTCATGTTTTCCTTGGAACAATAACCGTAGGGTTCCGCCTGCTAGTGTGGCTCCAATCATTTGAGCCGAAATATATGCCGGTACCTGTTTGGAGTCACAACCGAACACAAAGAAATTAAGAGCATATTCGGTACATAAGGATCGATGTAACTTGAGCTGACCTAACCTGTCTCAATGGGAACCTCTTGCAGGAGGCAAAAGCAATGGTCACAGCCGGATTAAAATGTGCACCAGATATATGACCAACCGAGTAAATCATAACCATGACCACAAGTCCCCACACAATCGCGATTCCGGGCATGGTTATAATCTTGTCCTTGTCGGCGTTCACCACCACCGCGGCACAACCGGCGAAAATCAAGAAGTATGTACCCAAAATCTCTGCAATTATCTACAGTACCAAAATAAGTTGGCCAATCAGATTTTCAACATTAATTACCAGTGTCAAATTAAGCAGCTATACATCATTTTCGTAATATTGATTACTAAAGACTGTTGCCTGGTTGGACAATCTTATGTACTTTATAAACCACTAACTGTAGCATTTATTAAGAGGGCATCGATTTCATCGTCTCTCCAAGAAAAGATTGAACACATAATTATGGACATAGAAGATATCAGTTTGTGTTCTGTTGGGAGGATTAAGGTTGTCGAAAATAAAAGGAAACCTCGTATGTACCTTCTGTATAAAAGGCAACCAGTCTGGAGAATCTTGAATTCTCTTCTCGTTCACATCATCCTTTATACTCAGGGACACTCCATTTGCTCCGGACATTTCAGCCATAATTCTATAAAGATTTTGAGTGATCGATCGATCGAGAGAGAGTAGCTCTCTTTTCTGTAATCTAACCAAGGAGTCCAGCAGAAAGATGTCCAATTTATGCTAATCCTAGAGAGAGAAAGAGGAAGAGAGAGAATATTGGACTTTTAATTGTGTATGAATCAATACAGTCTGACTTAAAAGTTTTCAAAAACACAGCATTAAATTACTTCAACCACTCGCCACTATTGCAGACGAACTATGATACTTACAAAGGTGTGTTACAAAGTTGATTGACAAAATAATATTTATACCAATTATTTCAAAAATAAACTTTTAAATCATTTCAAATCAGTGACCTTGATTTTGCCAATACACTTTGTAATCCAATTTTTATAATCCAACTTTATATAAGTAATTTTATTGATTGCAGATAGATTAGATTCGGGCAAATTCACTCATAAAATCCTAACAACTTTCATTTTTCCAAATTCCCCCGAAAAATAGCATTATCATTCCAAAAAAGCCAAAATTAGAAAGAAATAATTAAAATATTTTTTGAAAAATACTATTAGATCTTAACGATTTACTCGTACTAAGAATGATTTCTTGTTTGTGGGACGTTTTGGGTAACGCTAAGAAGTTATCATAGTCCAATACTATTTGAAAACAAATATGTTGTCGCTGTCAAATAGCATAGATGTTATAAAAATGTTTACGTGTTTCGGCTCGATTAATGTTATTCAGAATATTCATTATTGCTCACTAGATGTTCAACATCTGTAGATTGCTACTAAAGGAAAACAGCGACGTAAATATGGAATTCAATACAAAATGTAAGAGCATCTCCAAAAAAATAAAAAATAAAAAATAAAATAAAAATTAAACATAAGATACTCTCTATTTCAAAGAGTCAATTCTTAAAATCATACTCCAAAAAACTATTTAAATTAATGTTTTAATTTAAAAAGTGGGTTTGACTCTCCAAATTATATAATTAAATACATTCAAAGTGTTTTAATTTTTAATGTAGGAAAATAATAAAATAATCTAAAGAAAAGTTAGTTAAAATAAAAGATAAAGAAAAATAATTAATATTTTATGGGAGTAGTAAAATTAAATGTTAAATATAAAGAGCTTATTGTAGTACTTCAAAATTTTAATCTAAATTTATAAATATTCTCCAAATGATAGAATATACTATTTAAAAATAGAAAATCTCTTGGAGATGCTATAAGGAATTAGGGCTACCTACTACTTAACCAATTTCATGAAATAATGCTATCTAACACAACGGGTGCTATAAAACTAGTCAATAAAATGTGAAATTAAATAACTCATTAATTGTACTTCTCATTTAATATCACATTAACACCATCTAGCTGGGTATTTTAACACCAAAACTAGTAAATCAAATGTGAAATTAAATGACTCATTAATTGTATTTCTCATTTAATATCATATTAACACCATTATCAACACCATCTAAATGACTGTTTTAATACCAGCGATGCTAAATATCATTACTCAATTGCATGTATTATTTCATTTACAGAGAAGTTATTGGAGTGTAAACTACAATGTCTACAAATGGGAACACGTTCTATACTTTCCAAAAATATGTTAAATGATTTTTCTTGGGCTTGATTATTCTCAAACTTACTACTCCCACCGTCCTATAAAAATAGATTTGCTTTCCTTTTTGTAGTCTATCCCAAGTAGAGAAGAATTCAAAAAATGGCGACCAGAATAATAACGGTCAAAAGATTGATTTTAATTGATTTAATAACGATACCAAACAAGCTCTGAGAGTGTAGTGAATTCTTAACTTTTTAATATACTCCTATTCAATGTGCCTATGAACTACTCATATTTGTATCGTATATTTAATGTACGTGTATATTAAGAAAAATACAAGATAAAGGGATATTTTTTAATATATTCATTATACTTTCTTAATCTATATGAAAATGGAAATAAGCCTAGTTTTATGGGACGAATGGAGTAGTGGTTTTTCTGTTTGAATAATTAGTTGTCTATTACTATTTATTTCAATAGGAAACTATACCATTCATTGTTTTAACATTCGGGCTAGCATAGTCGATTCAACGGCAAAATTTGTGACTCCACAACTAATGCAGTCCAGGTCTTACTATTTGACCATACCACAAACAACTTGGAAAAGTTATTTTAAAAAAATAACAAAATAATAATAATAAATAAATTAGAAGATTGCTGACTCAAACCCTTGACCAGGCGGGCGGAGGTAATTGCCAATTTAGAAAATTACACGTTTTAACTAGAATTCAGTCGATTTCTTCCCATTCTACTTTTTAGATCCAAAGTGATTATTTCCAAGATGAGATACTAACTCCTGCTGCAATGCATTTTCGAGGCAATTAACATCTTCTAGGCATCTTCCAAAGCCACCACCTCGACCAAGATACTACGAACATCTGATATAGTCGATAGCAATCAACTTTTCAGTCAGATGACCACATGCCTATGACAATCATCGATTAACACAATTGATCATGATTAGTGAGGTCTAATTCATGCACCGAGAGTGCTCCTCTCTCTATTTGGCATGATAAGGTTGCCGAAAGCTAGGAATGTGACATTTACTGTCGTAGAGTACACTAATGATGTGATATATGCATGTAATTGTCTAACATCCTATCCATGACGCGCGTGTGTGTGCCAATTGTTTTGAGCTTTCCACCTGAAAATGAGGACAATGTTGCTTTGAGGCATGCAATCTAAGGGGCTAAACATGCGGGCCAAGAAAATCATGTATCAAGCATTCAATGGATATCAACTCTCATCTCTTGGTATAAATATTCAAGTATAGTGACTTCCTAAAGTAACGCAACTTTGAATGCAAAATTCGTAATCGTCAACCTTGATAATTGATACTTATATTTTCGTTCATTATATCTCTCTCGCAACTAATTATTTTCTTTACAATTTGACTTGAGTGACGAAGTGCCTGTGACAATCACGCTTCCATTTGAAGCCATGGGTAATTGCAGTCTCACGTGTTGTCAAGCGTATAAATAACATAAACATGAACGGATAGGAGTTAGAATCCGTTGGCAGCTGAATTTGAGGGTCAACGGATTACACAAAATGTTACTCTAAAATTTGGAAAATACTTTTTATTATACATAAGATATTCTTTATAAATAGATAACTTCTTGAAGATATCTAGCACAATTAAGGTTAATGTTTGATTGGTTATAATTATATACTCGATTTCTTTAGAAAATAAAAACAGAGAGACAAATTGAGTTATTTTTTTGATTGGTCTATCCACGTTTTATTTATTTACAATTTTGTATATCTCAGCTCTTAATTACCCCAGCACCTGACTGGCAAACCACACCAAACCAAATTAGTTAGAATAAATGCCATGTAGGGTGCAGTGCTAATTGGTCCTTAGTTACGTACGAGTTGCGTCATCATTACGTGCAAAATTGTCTCTATTGATGCTAGAAATTAACTTATTATTGATGAATTCGTGAACCTTCAAAATATATTTATTGCGCCCGCAATATATATATATATATATTGATCGCTGTACCACTGAGCTATTGAGAAATAACGGAATAACAGGAGATTAGATTTGATAGAGTTCAATTTCCGTTCTCAACCCATGACAAATATGAGCGCACATGTGTAGCCCAAGACATAAGGGGCATGTTAAGCCACATTTTCATAAAGAGAAATACTGATCTGCTAGACCTCTTCTATCAGGCCTTGTACAGGCCCTCTCATAAACAAGGGTGGGTAGGATATTTTTGGGATTTTTTTAATAATGTGGGACCCCCTATTTGTGAGAGTGCCTGTACAAGACATAATAGAAGAGGCCTGACAGAGTAGCATTTCTCTTTTATAAACTCATTTTCAACTACATAATATCTCATTAAAATAATTTATACGTAAATTCAATTTTATTTTATTTTTTACTTACACATTCTTAAAAAAATCACTATTATAAAATCTATTTTTTCATAAAATGGGACTCAAATACATTTTTAATCTAATAATTGTGATGAATTAAAAAATTGTTTCACTCAAAACTATTTTATTTAATTGAATTCTAAAAATTAATAGAACAGAGCGAAGAGTGATCAAGATTGACTCATCTTGTAATCATATATTTAGTTATTAAATAGATCATTTTAGTCAGTTTTGGTGTTCCAACTGAAACACATACCATTTACCAACGGTCATTCACTAATAAAGGATGTCATTGTCCGACTCTCAAGGGTCCAAAATGGTGGAAAGCCATAAAACACTTTATTTCTACTCTTTTTTTTAAAAGAAAATAATAATTCCCTTATCCAGAAAAAGATAGGAAATTTCTTTTGTTCGTAGGAATGTTAATTGGAGTTAGTTGCCCATTAGCTCGGCTCGTTTTAGAGACGAGTCATGGGACGAGCCAAGCTGAATTTTTTTCTATGTGAACCACTCGTTGGCTGGTTCGAAAGTTGGGAGGAGAAAAAATTTGAATTTTTAATAGGAAAAATGTGCAAGTCACAAGTGGTGAGCCGGTCCGTGTGCTTCTCGCCCCAAAGCGAGCATAGACCGAACCGAACGACTCAATCTATTTAAATTCCTAATTGGTGGGATACTAATGTCTTTTCTTGGCATTGACAAACCAGGTTTACAAATGTGAAAACCCATTTTTTTGTTCACATCTTTGTCGGAGCAAATGATGTCATATTTTGTCACTGATTGCATGATTCAATCCCTAGATCAAACTTAAAGCTAGTTTGGTATGGATTTTTGATAATTGATTTTTGATCGTTAGAGATAAAATGGGTCCTACGTATGAGAGAATAATTCAAAAATGACGGCTGAAATAGTGAAGTAACGGTCAAAAATTAATTTTAATTGACTTTGAATCCGTAACAAACAAGCACTTAATCTTTTTGTATTTCATAGAATTATTGAATCCCAAGACGGCCAGATTTTGAGAGAGAAGTAGAGAAAACAATAAGGATACAAGTTTATATTAAGTGCTTGTTTGGTACAAATTTTAAGCCAATTAAAATCAATTTTTTTTATCGTTATTTCACTATTCCAATCATCATTTTGGAATTCTTCTCTCACAGATAGGATCAATTTTATCTCTAACGGTCAAAAAATCAATTATTAAAATCATTACCAAATAAGCACTAAGATT